TATACGCTCGCCCAGCCTTCCTTTCCATCCCATTAGGCAGCCTGGGAACGGTGGCGGTCAGAGGCAAAGCCTACGAGGGGTGGTGGAACGAGCTCGAGCGTTTCGGACAGCGATCGAAGAACCTGCTTGTCTTGGCCGTGCGACATCGAGGAGACGCTGCAGCATCTTGACGGCGTAGCCGTCGCCATCGTCGGGGTCTCCATCAGCAACAGCTTCGGCTTGCCCTTCCTTCCTCTTCCCGCCAGAGTGGCGGAGTGTCGAGAGCATCGTCGCTAATGCGCGCGAAACGGACGGTGCAACTCCCGGCCTCAGAGTTGCGGGGAGAAAAGATCAGGTCCTATATTTGCTCTGTACAAATGACAAACGGGTCCTCAGCTGCTGCGAGATGCACATGCCGATTTTGCAGTGTGTCCATGTCAGACATCCGATGTCAGACACACAGACCGTGCGACCTGGGTCCACACAGTCGCCTCCCACCGGCCTGGAGACACGGCCCGCACAGAAAGTAGAAGACATATTGTGTGACATAACATGGGGACCCGTGCTCGCTCCACAGGGGGGGTCCCAACCACGCAACAGTGTCAGCAAGCAGCAAGGCGAGTCTCCCGTGAGGTGTGAGAGCTACGAGAGCTCTGCTGCCGCCTCTGCTGCCGCCATGGCCGCCTCTGCCCTGGCCCTGGCGGCGGCTGTGCGGGCCGCGCGCTTCGCCTTGGCGGCGGCAACGGCCGCCTCCGCCACCGCCTCCGCTGCCGCCAGTGCCTCCTCCTCCTCCACCGCCGCGGCCTCCTCCTCCTCCGCCGCCGCTGCCGCTGTCACGGCCGCCTCGGCCTCCGCCTTCCGTCGCGCCTCCGCGGCCACCTCCCTCGCCTCGCCCGCCTCGTCGGCCTCCTCCTCGGCCGCCTCCGCCGTCTCCTCGTCGCCCTCCTCCTCGCTCGCCTCGCCCGCCGCCTCTCCCAGCGCCTCCGCCAATCCCTCGACCGACGTCTCTGGCGTGATGCCGAACCGGATCCTGTCCTCGTGGAGCTCCGCGAGAAGCCGGAGCAGCCCCTCCTTGTCCAACGGCGCGGGCTTGGCTGCGGCTGCCTTTGGCGCCTCCGTCTCCTCCGACGGCCCCGCCCCGCCCGCCCCGCCGCCCTTATTCTTCTTCTTCTTGCCCTTCTTGCCCTTGGCGCGCTTCTCCGCCTCGACCTCGGCCAGCAGCTCCTCGGCGTGCCGCGCCGCCTCCTTCTCCTCCGCCGCCCTCTGCGCCGCCCTCTCCGCCGCGCCCGCGGCCCACGCCGCCTCCTCCGCCGCCTTCTCCGCCGTCTTCTCCGCCGCCGCATGCTCTGCGAGGGCGCGCACGCACTCAGTGTGGCCCTGCTTCTTGGCCCACTGCAGCGCGGTCTTGCCACTCGTAGTGCACAGCGTCACGTCTGCGCCCGCCCGCAGCAAGCAGAGGACGGCGGCGGGGTGGCCGTGGTAAGCGGCGAGAATCAGTGCGGTGCTGCCGTCTCTGCACTGCAGGTCGATCTCCGCGCCGTGCCGCAACGCCAACTCGACCAGCTTCTCGCGGCCAGACGTGGCGGCGCCCATCAGCGCGGTGGCGCCACTGCTGGCCTGCATCAAGACATCCGCGCCGCGCTGGAGCAGCGCCTCGGCCAGCCCCTCGTGGCCATGGGC